AATTATGATGTAATAACATCCCCAAATCTCCAGATGTAAAATTACATTACAACTAAAATTTACATTACAACCCTTGGTTATTTGAAACGTTAGTTTTTATTTCGCAGTACATCTATTGATTTTCCATCCAACAATTGTTCTAATTTTCCTGATGATATTGATTCATTCTTATCTGGGTGGTGTTACAATCAATAATACTGGGTATATAATTATATTGACAAATGACGTGAATGAAACTAGTGTCCATCTGCGAGTTGGCCTAGACCATTTATCAGCTGTATTGTTTCACATTAATTGGTCACAAATAGGAAGAATTTCTAGGTTGTGTGTCTACCATTTTTTAATTTTGACACAGTGATTGTAGAGTCAGAATTTACTCAACAGGTCCCTCAGTTTTATACTTTTGATATCAACTAGTTATTATTCCAGTCTGAATATTTTTGAAACCTCTATGTTCTCAGTTTATTTTTTTCTGATTTTATTTTTAATTTTTACCATGAATACCATTTTGTCTGAACACATTCAAGGACTATTCAGTATATTCCAGGACTGTACCGCTACTAACCCTGTTTGCTAATCTTATTATTTTTTTTTAGTTATAAATTACAGACTTCTCATCCGCACTCGCGATACTTGACAGAGACTTGACATCTTGGTCAATTGTTGTACTGTACGTGATATATAATATACCAGTAGTCCATGTTCATTGCCTCATTATTCAATTGTTTTAGAAACATGCATGTATTCTTAACGATATAGCAAAATTTATTATTGGAGTTAACATAATAGCAGTTACTGGGAAGCGTCCATGCAGTGTCATACAGTTATCTTAATAGCTCCATGGTAGGATCCATTGCTCTAGTTGTACGTTTATTGCTATTATTCCACATGTTTTTTTTGTCTTGTACTGAGATGTACTCGTATGCAGAGTGTAACCAACACTGTCTTAGCCACTTAAGCATAAATAACTAGTAATATCTGAAGTTGATGAGAAGATAGAGTTGTTTGAATCCAATGAGTTATTGCGGATTTCAATGGAGGTTCCTACCAAATATAATCATTAGAAGGGTATTTTTAATGTCACATGGCTGCATTGAATTATTAATGAAAAGAATACTGCTTGTAGTTATATAAATTTACCTCTTTTCAGTGTATGGGCAAAGCAGCTGATTACTGAATCCTTTTAATTTATGATTTTCGACATGATGTAAGTCAATAAGAGTAACCCATTCAAACTTGTTTTGCTACTGGTGCCTATTTTAACCCTGTAAATGTCCGGTCACTGGTAGCATAGTGGTTGTCGCTCCAGACTCATAATCGGTAGACCCAAGTTCAAATCCTACCTTAGGCTGAACATCAAAGGGTCAACCCCTACCCTGGGTGAGTGTGCCACAGACTCAATGGGAAGGCCAATTCCACTAGCCGAGATTCATTCACTAACGAATGCGACTTTGGGGGAACCTTTGTTAAGGTCCGCAGGTGCTTGTGTTCGACCGAGCCTGGTTGACGCCAGGATAGCACATTAAAATTGCCATTTGACAGAGAGATGGCCACACAGCCCTGTCATGTAGCCCCAAACATGAATATGACTTCTGTGGCAAAATGCACTATGTACATACAAAAAAAAAAAATCAGAAGAGACAACGGTGACATTCAATGTCCAGAACTGTCACCTGGCACAAAAATATTTTAAAAAAAAATTAAACCCTGTAAATGTAAACCTAACATAATACGAACATAACTATGCTTTACAAACAAGTATATTTGTATGATCAATTTTCTCCGTACAGTTTTCAATAAATTTTCATACATTTATTTACATTCACATATTTTAACAATACAACAACTCTGGCACAAGTGTGCTTCTTTATTGGCGTGCAAATATTAGATCCATTTTAGATAGCTTCAACATTCACTGTCTATCATAACACAGTGTTTCTCCTAAAAATAACATCAGTATCAGATATTTTGCAAAATATCCAATTCCGATGGTTATAAAATAAAAGCTGCCATAACCAAATTCTTATCTCGGTGAAAATGACCAGTTAGTATAAGATCGAAAAAAAAATGTTTACTCCATTTTATTTCTTGATATTTTTCACTAAAACAAAAATAAAATATGATAGGCTGAAATACTGTGAACCATTTAATTTTTTTGAGAAAAAACATTTTTGTGAGTTTGTGAAAATCACAGAATTTTGAAGCAGTCAATTTCTCTGCTGTTTTAGGATTTCTAAATGCCATCAAATCATGAAATTGAGAAAATTTCTACCAGCAGAAATGCGTCTTTGCCAGACAGGGGACATTTATTTGGCCGTTGCCTCACCTTTTATTCCCACTATAAACCTGTATTTACTCGCAATGAAATCAAACACAACAGTGCATGTTCTGGTATGTTTCCATGGTAATTGGGAAACAAAGTCAAGTGTTGTGACACATTTCCATGGGGAATCAAATGCCAAGTTGCATGTTTATGTCAGTTGAGCTATATGACAAGATATAAGACACAAGGTCTATTGGTTTAAATTAAAAATTGATGCAAGCTGTCGTACAAAAACACTTATTGATGGATTCAACTCCTTGATGTGCCCAATCAAATATTTCAAATATTACAGAATTTCCGTAGAAACGACGAAGCACTGAGAATTGGACGATGGCAAAAAAAAACGAAATCCAGCTTTATGAATATAAATAACGCAATACCAGTAACACAACATGTCCTAAATGTGATGTCCAACACCAATCAGCTCAGTGCGTGGTTTAAACAGAGCACAGACATGTACAGTACATATATATTATACTTTAATGTGAAAAACACAGTTATGTGGTGTCCATGGTAGATTCTAAAGAACTATTACAATATGAAGTTATTTTTTGAACAATAACATCTACTGCTTGTGGTCTTACATCAGTAGCACCATCCTCCATAGACTTTGTTAATAATGGATCCAATGGAATCGAACCTGAAGACGAAGAATAATAACTGCTTAGATTTTACTGAAGCCCATAGGTATTCTGTATAAGATATAATGTTCCATTCAACTCTTACGGGTGCCCCCAAGGATAAACTGAATGCATGAACATACCATACTGTCATGCAAGACCACATGAATACCTACCTAAATATGGTACCTCCATTTGTTTTGCTAGAGCTTCCCCACCTCCTTTGGAAAATATATTGGTACATTCCTAAGAATACAACAAATAATTATTATGTAAAGTTCATGTTTTGTGTCAAACAGAACAAGAAATCTTATGTTTGAAATATCTCTGCTGTCTTGGGAGTCAATAACTGACAAAATAAAACACAGCATGTGCTAGTAAACAGTTGTGGTTGAAATAACCAAGAGATACTGCCTGGTGATTCTACTGTATACTGTTGCTATGGATATGGTGCTTGTTGCTAAGGACACCCTGACTTCCCAAACAATGTTGGCCATATCAAATGTGTAGCAGATAACTATATTAATATTAGTTTGTTTAGAATAATATTTATGCATATTAATAAGGTCACATGAACCATCCCCACTAAGTATGCACACCCAGCAGGTTGTAATCAAGTTTTTTTTTCAAAATACTCATTTAAATTAAAGAATTGTCATTCACATAGAAAGAATAATTTCATTAAAGTTATTTTCATAAAATAAAAACTGTACCCAAGGCATATCAAATCAATTGGCTTTATAGTACCGGTAGTAGGTAGTTTGCATGAAAAAAAGACAACAAGCAGCCTCTCGGCTGAGATAGCTCCGCTGTTAGCAATGCACATTTCAATTAAAGAACAGAAGATATCATTAGAAAATGAACAATATGCATAGTATCAATGCAATGGGACTTGCTGTTTTCAACAAGAATTCAAAAATATAATTTTTAACCATAAATGATTGTGGTTTTTAACAAGAAGAAAATATCACTTTTTACCAAAAATCACAAAAATATTCATCAAAATTAGAGAATTGAAGATATCATCATGAAATGAACAAATCTGAGAGAGGTCTACCCAAGGTACATATACACCAAGTATCAAAGCATTCAGGCTTGTAGTTTTCAAGAAGAAGTCGAAAAAGTAAAACATTGACACGGACGACGGACACCGCACGGCGGACGACGACGGACGACGCTGGACAATCACTCATATGATAAGCTCCGCTTGACAAAGTCGACAGCGGAGCTAAAAAATGAACAGATGACATAAGATGACATGTTACCTGGCAAGTAGGACAAACAAATCCACTCATGTTTTCCACAATACCTATTACTGGTATTTTTGTTTTCTTACAAAACGTGACTTCTCTTCTCACATCATTAACAGAGACACCCTGAAAAAGAAATCAATATTAAAAACAAAAATGAATCAAAGATAACAAGTCATTGTAATCACAATACTGATAGTTTCTGTGTTATATTTGGCTAAATTGATATCTGATAACATGTAAATAGAATTGGAGGGAAAGTGCAAATATAACATGAAAGTAACTTCTTTTTTTATTTTTTTTTTTATTTATTTATTTATTGTTATTTCACAAAATAATAAAATACAAGAGACACACAAATAATGGGGAAAAAAACAAAAAAATATGTTCACAATAGCTGATCTAATAAACTCCAAAATAATCTGAAAGACTTTGATTTTACATTGTATATCCTTATTTTGTACATATCTATTTTCTTTTGGTATGCTAAATAATTACATAAATTTACAAAAGATGGCTTTACATTCTTGTACCTACAATTGAGAATATATTTTTTCAACAGCAGTAAAAGGTAATTTAAACAAAGAATGTAGTCTGAATTTAAATTAGAATCATGTACATTTAATCCCAAGATGACCGAAATATTACAATTATTGGCAAGGGTCAATTCATGAAGTATCTTTAACTCATATACAAAATGTAACATACAAAAATGTTGACCAATAGCATCACAGGATGCAGTGGATGTCCAATAGCGAAAATTGTCCAAGATGAAAAAATTGTTCTTGCAGATTGTCGCATACGACTTATTTACCACTTCCGTGTCACTGAGAATGTTCTAGAACCATACTGTGTCTGGGTGGAATATTCTATATTTTTTAGGAAATGGTTGAATAGGTAATAGAACACTGTAGGAGGCAATAGAAGGTAATGGAACATTCTAGAAATTTGTAGTAAGTTCCAGACTCATTATGTATGCTGATGTAATGGTCTATTTATAGACAGTGGGGGTATATATAGGGATATATAGAGTTGTTCAGCACTGAGTTCAGATTGGAGATCTCGTTGAATTGTATTGGAGTTTAAGTATCTAGTTATTGGAGTAGTGGAGTTTTACCGCGTTATTGTACTTGATGTTTGCAGAGTATAATAATACCAGTACCAGTTGAAACCTCATCTGTTGGCTCCGTGTTCGTATGTTATCATCGCCGCCAGGGAAGTCTTTCTGTTACTGTTGCCATTTTGGTATTTGAACCATCACACCTGTACTATACCAATTACGGTAATATTACGTTGCGTGTGACACAGATTAGAATTATTAGAAATGTACAGTAGGTTTCCCTTGCGATTTTGTAAACATATTGCATTGCATTTTAATTTCTTCAATTTACATGAGATCTTCATGGCATAACGTACATTCTTGGATATCCTCTTTTTATAGAAGGTGACATTATGTTCCATTGTCCATATTCAAGTGTACCAGTAACTTAGTTTAATTACTGTGGACCCACCTGTGGAGTTGTCACCAATACAGCACCATCTGGATTATACTGTCTGATATTTTCTACTATACTTATATGTTCATCTGAAGTACCAGGAGGTGTGTCTATCACAAGATAATCCAACTCATCCCAATGTACATCACATAAAAACTGTTTTATCATTGCTGACAAAATAAAACATGAATGCAGTAATTAGCATGTAAATGTATGTATGCTTTATAAGGCCTTTTTAGAGAGACCAGCATGAACAGTTAAAACCAAGAAACTTTCGCATGGGTACTGCCTTGCAGGAAATGTAGAGGGCATTCAGTCGACCAAAGAAAAAAACTGATAATCAAGACATTATCGGTAAAGGGCATGAATCATGGGAATGAGGGTGAGTCTGACCACGGTAAATGAATCTATATATCAAGGTACAGACTAACTTGCCAACCCAGTATGGCACAGAATAACCTGAAGGAAAATAATTTCTAAACAGCCTTCAGATGTGGCTGCTAGCGCAGACTTAACCCAGAGGATGTCTTGAATTGATAGGCAGTGAGTCAGCCTGAAACTCTATTCACAAAATCAGTGCTGATCATGTGTCAAGTAGAATTGTTGGGAGCCTCGAAGGGAAAGCCTGCTGAATAGACAAGTCAGATTACTCTTTCCATACATGTAAGCATGTAGGCTATGACATTTATTGCATCATAGCGTTTCAGACATACGTATGCAGATTTATTTTACTTTTGTGAAATGAGAGAAAAGCATGTTTGTATTCAAGCACACCAAAGTAGTAGGATAAATAGTATAATTTGTATACATGAATACAGGACATCCAAGTATCATACAACAATCAACTAAACATTGATATGTTAGTAATGATCCATTCATGTGTAAATCATCTTCATTTCAGACCACGTCATTCCAGCATTGTAAACATATGTCTGTTTTCATATGCTGAAATTCAAATGACCAAAGTTAATCAGCCGTCTAAGTTTCACCAAGGAATATAGAAATGTGTGATGACATAGTCTACAATATGCTTCATGAAATTCTTCTCCCCATATAAATGGAACAATTTATGATAATGAAGTTAAGGTATTACCATTTTTCTTGGGTCCTCTCCATACCACAGCGTCATCTTTATTATGCAATAAAAAACCAATTGACATAATGGATAATCTCTGATTATTATCTGCATATACTGGTAGCCATCTACAATAAAATATTCATAATCCAGTCAGTAAAGGGCAGTGGAATATACTAGTAGTAGCAAGTTCTTGAGTGTTTCTGGTCACAAACAGAATGCGAAAAACTTACTGCATTTGTTCTATTAATACTGTATCTTTAATAAAAAACACACATTAATCAAAAATTAAAGTTATTGGAGTGATTGTATTGAATCATTGAAATACACCTTATTATGACCATAGGTACATTGATATAAGCACATGTTCCACTAACATCTAAATATGGTATGCAAATCTTCTATAAACACAATTATATTGACACCTTCGTACTGGCAATATAAATTTGTTGAAGTGCCGAAGATGTGTTTTTATTTATTAAGAAATAAATAAAATATATAAATGAATACTGAACCACTTATTAAAAAAAATAACTATTGTAGCAAAGTCATCAAGCCAAGATCATGAGTTATTATTTATAATATACCATGTAATATTGATGTACAGATGGCACTCACCCTTGCGGACACTGATGTATATCTTTTCCATCTACATTCAACATTTTCGGTATGCTAGGTCCACAAAGATCTACATCCAATATACCAACTTTATATCCAAGTGATACCAGAGACAGTGATATCTGTGTTGTGACAGTGCTTTTGCCAACACCACCTTTTCCTGATAGCACCAAAATAATATGTTTTACACCTCGTAAGTTATCACTGTTATCTGCAAGTAATAGGAGTTAAAAAAAAAAAACATGACAAATAAACATTTTCACTTTTACCATCCTTCCCATTAAAGTTGTTAATGGTCCAACCTTTAAGTTATTTTTGTTTTAATTTTATCTTTTACAACTTTTTTTGTTTCATTTTTTTTTTGCAAAATGTTACGGAACTGGGGAAGATGTGAGTTCACCCCAACCGCTAACCTTAACTATACCCTCCCCCAAGCCCTAAAAATGTACATGTCCCCTCTAGATAGATATAGACATCCTTAGGAGCGACACGTACAATTAAATTTGGAAGCGCTGGAGGGTAGGGGTTAGGCGTGAGGGTGCAAAAGGAATTGTTTCAGGGGCGTACCATTCTAAGTTAACAAATCTGAGAGGGGCGTAATTAGAAAAATAGTTTACACAACAAACAATTCTAAAACAATTACTGCAGGGATCATTAGAATAACAAAAGTCAGCAAATTCATCATGGAATCAAAAAGTAATCACAAAACTAAACTAAACATGTTTTGCACTGTTTTTTTTTTTTCTGCTACCGTCCCTCCCAGAGTTGTTAATGTTTCACCCCTAATTTTGGGTGGAATATCAAGTAAAATCACAAACCATTTACATCTCCCCTAATGAACTAAAATTGAGTTGTTAACATACAAATGGTTGTAACGACCGAATGTAATCAAAAACCGAAAATAATCACTACAAATCCCGCAAATGTCCTACTGTGCTTAGTTTGGCCAACCATAGACAGTTTTAGTTTCATTCGCACTTACTTCCCATGGAGGCAGCCATCTTGGAAATATTAGTGAGAGGGCCATCACTGGTAGTATATGTACTTGCTTTCGTTTTTATAGTTATAATACCCCGGTACATGCAATTTCAACGGGCGTCTGCACACTTGTATTTAGGCGAAAATGAGATAAAAATAAAATTTTATTGCAGCGTAATTTCTCGCGCCCGTCGACCTGTAAGTGCAAAGTGCGACTTGTAAGTGCAAAGAATTGCTAAAAAAAAACTTATTTTTATCTTCATTTTTTTCCGCATAACAAACCCAAGTTCCATTTTCGTGGGAGTATCATGATCAAAGTACCGAAAAAAAAAAAGAATTAATTTTATTTTTTTCCGCCCTCCTCAAAAAAATTGCCTTATAAAAACTTGAGAAACAAGGAATAAAAAAAGTCTGGTCTCATAAGTAGACTGTAAACTGTACACTTGTATTCATATGTAGATTGTAAACCACACTTGTATTCATATGTCGATTGTAAACCACACACTTGTATTCATATGGAGATTGTAAACCACACACTTGTATTCATATGGAGATTGTAAACCACACTTGCATTCATATGGAGATTGTAAACTACACACTTGTATTCATATGGAGATTATAAACCACACACTTGTATTCATATGGAGATTGCAAACCACACACTTGTATTCATATGGAGATTGTAAACCACACTTGCATTCATATGGAGATTGTAAACCACACACTTGTATTCATATGGAAATTATTAACCACACACCTGTATTCATATTCAAGTGCAATCCCATACGTTTATTACTGCGGGAAAACCCTCATTTTAAGAGTCTTTGTATCAGTCCAAATTAACCGAGCAAAATGGCAACTTAAAATCAAAGTGGAGCTTCTTAACCAATCAAGATTCATTGTCAGGCTTTTTATACAGTTTTATAATCAAACTCGTGTTCGTAGTATATTAAGTTCCAGAAAGGTTTACATCATACAGGCTTCCATCTTGAATTTTGAATGTGAATGTTCCAGCAAAGCACCCCACTATCACTTTGGAGTATTTTGTTAGGACTATGTGCCCTCACAGTTCAGAATCAGTTAATCAACAGCCAATGAGATTGCTTCTTTCATCAACGTGCGTGCTATCAACACAAAGCTGTGCTGACTTAGATGTCAAGGCAATACAGTGAAGATATCGGGACATCATACAACTCTGAGTCAGACAATACTTTTCAAGCTATACTTAATTCAAAGTCTGATGGGTTCGCTGTTAGTCGCACTGTTAGTGGTAATCATGTAATACTCCACCGGCCTTGTGACCAAGCGTGTTGAGTATTATGGAGCAGGTGTTATACCTCAGAGCTCATGTTGCAGCAACACATATCGGCAAAAATGAAGCCAAAGATCAAGACTTCAGAAATGCATTGCAACACTTTCTATTGGTCAATAAACTTTCTATTGTGCAGCCATGTGACATACATGGTTATGAACTGAGTTACCACACACAGTTGACGCGGGAGGAATGTCCGAATGGAACACTGCGCAGGCAGGCAATCACAAGCTTCATAGACTAGATCACTTTATGGATTAGCGGCAGAAGTAAACTACTTTGTACGATAGCTAGATTCTTATCTGAATGTGCTTGGCACAAATCGTTGAATAGTTGGAGCCCAATGTCAGTCAATCAATGCAGGCTGCATGAATGGCAAGTAAATTGACAGGGAGGCAGGATTGTTGACAATACTCTGAATTTGACAAGATTATATTATAGGTGGTTTGGAATACCAGAATACAAGTTGGATAAAGCACGTCTTCTAATTTAGAAGTTACAGCACTCTTAGAGTACCATCCATTTGATGCAGTGCAGATGTCCTCCATTTGCGATACTTTAATATGTTATGCAACTAAAGCCTAAAAATAGTGTTCACATTTATACCAAGGCAGTTAACTACAATTGGTCAGTACTATCTCCAGGTGCCTTTGACACTCAAGTCAAATAATGAACTTGTGTTAAGCATGGCTCCACTCCACTTGTGTATTATCCTATACCAGTAATCTCCAGATCTAGGTACACTAGGATTTATACTAATCTCATTTTATAAAAGGCAGTTTACTATCATACCAAACATACCGGTACCCCACAATTGCACAAGGTACACATTCAAAAACATTTCTCACAAACAAGCCAAAACAAATAGTTTTTAGTATTTATTCAAGAAGCCAAACACCATGGTGGTGTATTCAGTAATGATAACTTGACATTAAAGGCTTAGAATGATTTCTGTTCAGGTCGAGGTGCTACTGGATGCGCAGTGTGCGCCTTGGCCAGATAGTCGGTATATTCCTGGTAGGGTGACTTGCTGAAGACTGTTTCTTTCCACATATCAGGTGTCAAGTAGCTATAGGTTCTTGAGATTGCCTCGAATGTTGCTTTGGCTGAGAAAAAAAAAGGAGTTGATCACAATTCAGCATATAAGCTCTACAAGTATCACATGCACTTTCGTATACTTGACCAGATAATGGTTTAATGATGTTTATCTATTTTTGTTCTATTTTGATGTAAAAGTATATAATGATTGCAATTTGTGTGTGTTTCTATCAAGACACATTTTTAATGGAAAAAATAAGATACAGTTTAATGCTAAATTCCCATTAACCACAGTTTGTATTAAAATGTTGTAACTTCAAAAATTAGTTCAAAACCTCAAAGTGAGTTTGTACTTAGTTTGTAACAATGTAAGTCCATTACTCAGATTAATTACTCGCCAGTACGATCGATCGACTATCTAACAAATAACATTCTTCTTGATAAATACTTACCAAAGTTACCAAGGGTAGCGGTTTGTCCAGTTGCTTGTGTATAACAATCATCGATACCAGCCATGGTAAGTAATTTCTTTGGAACAGGAGCACTGACAATACCAGTTCCTCTTGGTGCAGGAATCAGACGAACCAATACACTACCACATTTACCTGTAACCTGAATGAGATGCACCGATTGTGATTACAAAATGTTTAACATTGATTCCCAAGGTGGTAAATGTGAAGATAAAGCTTTGACGTTGGAGACCACTAGCATTTGTGTAGAAAGAGTGGGTTCGCTCCGCTCCCTTCATAACCGGTAAATATAATTGTGAATGACAATTATATTTTTAGGATTTGAAGTTTGCATCAATGTTATCGGTTTAGACTGTAGAACTAAATAAATTGCCCAAACATCGAGTGAGCATGATTTTTGCATGCTATCACTGTACCAGCCACTGGCAGAATGATTTCAGCAGAAAAAAAATGTTTTGATTAATTAAAGAGTAATTCGGAACTCACCTTGCAAGGTACAGTATGTGGTTTACCGATCTTATTACCCCAATAACCACGACGTACTGGAATAACAGACAACTTGGCAATGATGATGGCACCACGAATAGCAGTTGCTACTTCTTTGGAGCATTTCACACCCAATCCAATGTGACCATTGAAATCACCAATAGCAACAAAAGCCTACAATTCAGAGAATAATCATTAATTTTACTTTCCAATAAACTGCATTAATCATGACTAACAAGTACCTTGGATATTTAGCACAACAGTAATTTTCATCAGTCAGGTTTATATGAACAGACAGACATGTGAAAACATTTTCACAAGTAATACCATAATAGCATACTATCTGACTAGATTGTGAATTTTTCTAAGTAAAAATTAGTATAATAAATATAAAGGCAACATACAGTTCGAACAAGCAAGTTTTGAAAGTTATCGTTGAGTTCTGAAGTCTTTCAGCAAACAGAAAGATCCAAGTACCACTGAAGTATTTTTCGAGTTAGAAATAGGAAATAAAATGTACTTTAAAATGCAGCCTTACCTTGAATCTGGTACGTTGTCCAGCACGGGTTTGTTTCTGTACTGGCATAATTTTTAAGACTTCATCTTTCAGAGCAGTCCCAAGGAAAAAGTCAATGATTTCATGTTCCTAGAATCAAAGAATAAAAACAAAATTGAACAACTAGCCAGACACTCTGGAAATAAGTATACCTCCATTGTATAGGAGACCAGAGAATAACTGAGGTTGACACCTGATATCACTTATACATATAGCGGTTGATAAGAGTGATGTCATAGGCATATACTAGTAATATCCTTAAAATAATACAGCCATGAATAAATGATATCAGGGGATAACTGCTTCATCACCCATCAAAACTTGAAATTTTACAAATGATATGCTAATTAGGCACAATGTTAAAGCACATCAGTGGACACTCGCATTTGTAACATCTTTAATCGGCAGACTCCTAACAAGCTTTCCCCAGTTATCATTGCACCATCTTAATTGTTATCTGGTCCGAATTTCTCATTGTCTTGGTAACAACTGATGAAGTGGTTAGTTGTTCTACATCACCATTTTGAACATTACAGTGGGCAATTATTTAAATGTTTTATACCCTCAAACCATGCAAAACAGTAGTACTTTGTATTCCAGTTGTATAATTTTGTTGAAAAGAGTTCCTTAGGGCCCCCATACCCACAACCCCAACCTTGTCCCTCCCATTATATTTTTATTTTAAATTCTTCAGAACACCTAAAGTTAGTGTTTAGGTTTGGACACACACAAGCGTTATGATCGATATTTCGAATTACAAGTGAGGTTAATAGTCATGTGATAAATAAATGTATCCATTCATAATCTCTTTATCATGACACATTCGAATGGCAACACAAATGCCGACTTTTCAAAGTAGCTACAATTTTACTGTGGATAAATGGGTACCTTGATTGGCAATGAAAACAGGTAAATCTCTTCCAAAGATTTGATCTTAAGATCTTTTACAAGTCTTCCCAACTTTGTAACAGGAACCCATTCCTTATCTTCTGGCTTTCCACGACCACGACCCCGGCCACGGCCTCTTCCGCGACCACGACCTCTACCGCGTCCTCCAAATCCGCCACGAAATCCACCTCTACCACGGTCAGAGCTGGCTGGAGCTTCGTCCGCCATTGCTGAAATTGGAATTAGTGTAATATAATTCGTACAACATAATCCTGAACACGTGAATACAAATCAATCAGATTGACTACTCGTTTATGCAGTTGGTTATTTTACCAAATGTTAGGGGTTTTAAGGCAACAAACCAACCTACACGATTGAAAGGAGTTATATTCTTGAAATAATCGACCTAAAAAAAGACGCAAATAGAAAACTACAATGGATGGTGATGGATTTCTTCAGACGATTCATGAAAACATGTCCTCCATCTTACCTGATAAATTTACTATATTGAAAGCGAGGTTCGTATATTATATCTCATTTCCGGTAAACAGCGCCCTCGGTCACACGCGGTTGCTGGGATATTCATATGGTTTTTGAAGTAAACAACATTCTATTGCATAATTTTGAATAATAACTGACGATTAATTTGGCACATTTAGCCCTCAAAAAATAAGTGAAAATAAAATAGTCCCGAATATATAGTCCCTGTGTGCATTATGACTCTTGATGTCTTGACCTGTGATGATGGATGGGATAGTATTTTGATAAGGGCGTGGCAGTGCGAGCAGAACAACATGTCCAAGTTTATTCAAGTTCATCCCTGCAAAGAAACCACTCAACTGTGCTACTTAGTCGGTGCAGTGGGTCTTGTGTACTAATCGGTTGGGGTGTCCCCAGAAGTCTGTCTGCATGATGAGAAATACAGACTACGCCACGTCCCCCAACACGATCATGACATACGTCGGG